TGCGCATGGAAACCGGAATTCAACTAAGCGAATAGAGAGCCCTGATTCTATGGAACGATCGAGGATTGACTTGAACCTGGCTGCATTATGAGGAGTTGTAACTATGGTTACGACCACGCCTTGCTGTGCCAATAACCTAGCAATGTCTATCATGGGGGTCATATGGCCCTGAGCCATGAAGGGAAACAGGACAAAGTGAAGCTGCTTGACTTGAGTAGCCATGGCAACTGTTGCAACCAAATTATAAGCTTCGATCACTCAACTTTTAACAGAAATTAAGCGTAGACCAAGAATGATAATGGACAAGCCAAGCTTTAACTTGTGTAAATATTAGTATAAAAGAAATTCTCCGCGGTTGCTTTCATGGCTACGTAGGAGCATACGTAAGCATTTTGGGTTATCTGTTAAAAATGGAATTCGGTGCATAATGTTCAGCCCTTGCGTTTGTAAATATTAGTTTGACTCTCTTGACTCTCCAATATGGACCACCATGGAAAGAAGGTATCTTTGATTGAACACTCCTGATGTGTCCTGCAAGCAATCAAATGACTAGCAAATGAATTTAAGTAACGAGGCCATTGATGATTGTTAATTGTTGGCAGTTGCTTATTGCCTCGAATAAGCGAAGGATATATTTCAAACAAAGAGATTCATGGATCAATATAATTAATTTCACTAGATTATAGGCAGATAATTCATAATTTATAGAAATCCAATATGTTTTTAGGAGTTAATTTCAAATGAATTTTTTTTAAAAAAAAATAGTTTCATAAGTTTTAAGTGTTTAGAAAGAGAAAAATACATTTTTTTTATAAAATGGTTTACATCCTTAAACAAATAAATGCATAAAAAATTAAATATATTAGTATTATGTTGTTCATTTTAAAATCATGTAAATATATTTCTGTTTTTAATTTTTTTTAAAAAAAATTGATTTTAATATAAAAATATTTATACTAATTTCACATTTGATTTTTAAGTTTTAAAATCTTTAAAATAATATACTGCCCATTGAAAAGTCTTCTTTCACGCAACAAGCTACATGGTTTAGCATTCATTAGGGGAAAAGATCATTCTAAGGCCAAAATATATTTATTGATGATCATCACCTCGGGGTTATGGCGTTCATGGAACAATATAATATATAGTGCTCATTTCTGCCATTGTCCTGGTGTCACTGTCAGTCTGTGAAGCACTAATAAATCAGGCAAAGGATTACTTGTACAACACAACACAGACATGGTCCAAAATTAAAAAGAAACATTTAATTCTATGTTTGGATATCATTTTTGTAATGGGGTTGTTATAAAAAAACAATAATTGTAATTATCGAACTTAATTATAAATCTGCGGTTTCTTTTGATGCGAAGAACTCAAACAGCCCTGGTAAAACCATCGTCTTTGTAATTCTTGAAGAAGCAAACAGTGCCAAATACAAATCAATTTCGATTCATTTGTCTCTCTTTCTTGATGAGGTTGTCAGGCAGGCATTTAGAAGTGGCTTGGTCATATAAATTTTCCGTTAAAGTTGCTGTCAATATTCAACTGCTTCAACAAACTTCAAGATCCTTACCAACTCGGTTCAACAGTTGCAGTTAGTGGAAATGAGTTAAATGATACGGATCGACAAGTATTGCTCGAGTTCAAGGCCAAGATAGTTGGTGATCAGCTTGGAATTCTGCATTCATGGGACAACAGTATCCATTTCTGCCAGTGGCGTGGTGTTGAGTGTGATCGTGGACGTCAAAGAGTGACCAAGTTGGACTTGCGATCGCTAAAACTCATGGGATCGATTTCACCATATATTGGGAATTTGAGCTTTCTAAAGGTGCTAAATCTTCGAGACAACAGCTTCAGTCAAGAACTGCCACAAGGAATTGGTCGTTTAGGAAGATTGCGAGAACTAGAACTACGTGGAAACTTCTTAGGAGGTGAAATTCCTTCCAATATATCTGGTTGTTCCAAGCTCACACGACTTTACACGGGGTACAACCAGCTAGTTGGAGAAATACCTGCAGCGGTTGGCCACTTGTCAAGTTTAAAAGAATTAGGCTTAAGTAACAACACTTTGACACGGAGTGTTCCCCCTTTCTTTGGGAACTGGTCATCTTCAGAGATAATTTAATAGATTGACAGGGCTAATCCCTGAATCTCTTGGTCAATTGACAAATCTTACCCTGTTTGCAGCAGGGGTGAATGGACTTTCTGGTACTGTTCCTCCCGCGATTTTCAATCTCTCCAAGATCAAAACTCTTGATAACAGCTCAAACCAGTTTCATGGTAGGCTTCCTTCGAAATTGGGAATCACCATGCCAGTTCTTGAAACATTTTATATGTAAGTCATAACCAACTCACTGGACCATTCCCTCTTTCAGTATCCAACGCCTCAAATCTCGTAAATCTAGAACTTTCATTTAATAAACTTAATGGAAACTTGCCTTGCTTTGACAAATTGGACAAGCTACAGTGGTTTACATGAACATTATCTGCACCTTGACGAATGCCACCAGCCTAGTGGCCCTGGAGGTGAATGTCAACTACTTTGGAGGAGTATTACCTAAATGCTTAGGCAATTTGTCGACCAATCTCACGTTTTTGTTTTTTGACAACAATAAAACATCAGGAAGTATCCCACTGGGGATTGGGAATCTCATCAACTTAGAGATACTACATGCATGAGGCAATCAAATATCAGGTTCCATTCCCTCTGTTACTGGAAACCTTCAGAAGCTACAATAATTGGATCTAGGGATCAATTCTCTCTCTAGGCTTATTCCTTCTTCTCTTGGAAACTTAAAGATGTTGAACCAACTAGGCTTAAACCATAACAATCTCCACGGTACCATTCCTTCAAGTCTAGGCGGGTGTGAAAATTTGGTTGCATTGGATCTCTCAGATAATAACCTTAGTGGTTCTATACCCCCTGGAGTTGCTGGACTCTCATCCTTGTCCATGTACCTAGATTTATCTTCCAACCACTTAACTGGTGTGCTTCCTATTGAAGTAGGAAACTTGAAAAATATAGGTCAATTATCTGTTTCTCAAAATAGACTATCAGGTGTGCTTGCAAGCAGTCTCAGTAATTGTATAAAACTAGAGAAACTATTGATGAGTTACAATTACTTTCAAGGCTCCATTCCTTCATCTTTCAGTTCATTGAGAGGTCTTGAAATTGTAGACATTTCCCACAACAATTTCTCTGGTGAAATTCCTCATTTTTTTGCAAGCTTTATATTCTTACATTACTTCGATCTTTCTTACAATGATTTTGAAGGCATGGTGCCGACAGATGGAGTGTCGGAGAATGCTAGTGCTACATGGGTCCAGGGAAACATTAAGCTTTGCGGAGGCACACCTGATTTCCAATTGCCAAGCTGTAACTGCAAAAGTGCAAAGAGCAGATCAAGCAATTCATATAAAATTAATAATTGCTATCATTTCTGGGCTTCTGGGACTAGGAGTAACTTTGGCATTCTCCTTTCTCCTTGTTTTTTGGCTTAAAAAGAAAAGAAGCCAGCCTATATCAACTTGAACAGAAAATTAACTTTTAAATTATCTTACCAAAGCATTCTAAAGGCTACTGATGGATTCTCCTCTGCAAATTTGATAGGTGAAGGTAGTTTTGGTTCTGTATATAAGGGAGTTTTAGAAGAGAATGGAACTGTTATTGCCACCAAAGTGCTTAACCTTTTCAGTCCGGTATCTTCTAGGAGTTTCATGGCTGAATGTAAGGCCTTGGGGAATATTAGACATCGAAATCTTGTCAAGATATTAACAGCTTGTTCAGGTTTTGATTACCATGGCAATGATTTCAAGGCTCTAGTTTATGAGTTCATGGTTAATGGAAGTCTAGAGGATTGGTTGCATCCATCTTTTGATTCGAATGAGTTAGAGGAGTCAGTAAAGAAATTGAACTTTTATCAGAGAACGAATGTAGCTATTGATGTTGCTTGTGCATTAGATTATCTCCACCATCATTGTGAAACATCAATTGTTCATTGTGATCTCAAACCAAGCAATATTCTAGTTGATGATCAATTCATTGGCCATGTAGGTGACTTTGGATTGGCAAAATTCATTTCAGCAAATATACAAAATTACTCTACAAGCCAGTCATGCACCCTTGGATTAAGAGGAACTATTGGTTATGCTCCACCAGGTACACTTCTAATCGTTCCTACCTCTCCATAATTACTCTTAAATTCATTTTCTTAACAATATGGACTTAAAAGCTACGACTCAAAACTATTACCAAGCTGTTATCCTACAATTTCTGCTATTTGTGATGAATGATTGGCAGAATATGGCATGGGAAGTGAAGTGTCAACAAATGGTGATGTGTACAGCTACAGTATCCTTTTGTTGGAAATGTTTTCTGGAATGAGCCCCACTGATGAAGTGTTTAAAGAAGGTTTAAACTTCACAACCTTGTCAAGGCAGCTTTGCCAGAATGAGTAGTTGATATCACTGATCCCACTCTCCTTCAGGAAAGAGTCACAGGAGAAACAACTGCCAACAGTACTTGCAATGTGAGAAGCCAGAGTGATAGCACACTGGTTCAATGTTTGAATTCAATATTTGAAATAGAAGTCACTTGTTCTGCAGAACTGCCAACCAAGTGAATGAACATGAGTGATGTTGTTGCCAAGCTTTGCTTTATCAGAAACAAGCTTTTTGGCAACTCAGTCACATCAAGAAAGACCTACTAGAAATTCAGTTCAGGTACCAGGTAATGATATCTTATATCAAAGTTATAAGACTTTCTAATCCATTACATAGTTCAAGGTAAAATTTTACATCCTTTGCAGAGTGCCCCGATCTTAATTGCAGTTTTTCTTTAGCTTTTCTGCATAAAAATTTTACTTGTTTTGTTCTATTGCAGGTGCTTAAGGTTGATGGCTTAAATAGAAGATGCCATAATTATTGACTTGTGTGGCTGCAAGCAATCACAGAGCTTAAGCTCACTTCTATAACCACTCCCCTTGCGAAAGAAAAATAAATAAATGAAGATGATCAGGTCCAATGATGTGCAATTTATTTGTACTACTGCTTTTTTTTTCTTTTGTAAATTGAACTTATTACTTAATAACGCGATGTACAATTATAGGAGCAAGAAAAAAGATAAAACTAGTGAAAAGGTCCCCATCACTAGATATGGAATCACAAGTTGCTTTATTTGCGGCACTGTTGCAGCTTGGACTTGGTTTCTAGAAAGTCCAAAATGTGTTTAGACCGTTAATTCAACAGCAAGATCATGTTGCGCTTGTGCTATATCAAAATGAAGATATCAATAGTGTAGGTGTGACACGTTACAACGATTTATAACTGAGATAGAGTGCCTCTTTTTACCTCATGTGCTAGGCTGCTTCCTGTCATAAGTCCTTTGCATGATATCTTGGATTAATTGTGTAATGTTGAGGTGAGAAGATCCCCCAACTTCAAGAGCGTTGTTTGCCATTTCTCCAAGCTTTTTAGCTCTTTTTCTTCTCTCTTCGCCTTCCTCTCCTATTTCCATCAACTTTTCTACAGCCTTTTTGACATCTTCCTTATTCACCAACACCCCAGCTTTTGCTTCATCCCCCCAACTCAGAGGCTCCTCCACTCCGATCCTTACTCCGATTTGAAGTATCTGTACAACCAATTTCTCATTGCAAAACTGGTCTCCAAATAATGGCCATGTTATCAATGGCACACCCGCAGCAATGGCTTCTATTGTTGAATTCCATCCACAATGAGTTAGGAACCCTCCAATTGCACGGTGTGACAATATTACTACTTGGGGAGCCCAACCACGGATCACAAGGCCTCTTCCTTTTGTTCTTTCCTCAAAACCATCCTCTAAAATCCACTTCTCTACTTCTTTTGATGTATCGCTTCCTCTCATAACCCAAATAAATGGTCTATTCGATGCCTCTAAGCCTAAACCAAGCTCTATTGACTGTGAGGGTATCACATTAGAGAGACTTCCTAGACAGGCATAAATTACAGAACCAGGTTCTTGAGAATCAAGCCACCTCTGGCATTGGTTTTCGTCAATTGAGGCCTTGTTACCTCTCTGAGCCTTATCCAAGCGATCCTTGTTGCATAAAGAAACTGGACCAATGCACCACACTTTGTATCCTCTTGCCTTCCTGTATTTCCTGACATATTCAGGTTCCAGCTCTTCAAAAGTATTAATGACCACGCCATAAGATGCTAGATCAGTCTCTACCGTTTGCTCACAAAATTCTTTCAAGTATCTATTATCCAAAATTACTGGAAGTTGGGATTTAGTAAATTCAACTTCGTCGGGCATGTTAGGCACAGCAAAGTAATGTGAGCCCGTGGTTATGTGTTCAAGAATCTTGGAGAGGTGTAAATTATAGATGCAAAGAAGACAGAAACAACAAACTCCATAGAACACAACCCTTGGAATCTGAAACTGGCTAGCAATGTTGAGGGTATATGTCAACAAACAGTCAGAGATGATACAGCTTGGCCTTGGCCTCAGCTCCTCAAACAAGTTTTGCACTGGCTCTTGAAGCTTGTTGGCTTCGTGAAGAAAATTCAAGGCTAGGCCAAGCGAGGGCAGCATGTCAAAGTTCTCACATCCTTCTGGTAAGCCTGATTCTTCACATGGAAACTGACATTCTACCAAGCGGATAGAGAGCCCTGATTCTATTGCCCGATCAAGAATTGTCTTGAACCGAGCTGCATTACGAGGAGTTGTAACTATGGTGATGATCATGCCTTGCTGTGCTAACAATCTAGCCATGTCTACCATGGGTATCATATGGCCTTGAGCCATGAAAGGAAACAAGACAAAGTGAAGCTGCTCGACTTCAGTAGCCATGGCAACTAACCAAACGATAAAGCAAACTAGAAAAATATCCAATTAAAGCTTTAACTTGTCTAAAGTTAATAGAGAAGAAACTCTTCAGGGTTGTCGGCAAGGGTGCTTTCCTAGTGACGTAAGAGCATACATAAGGCATATTTGGATTATCTGAAGAAGGGGAGGTTCTTATTTCTCAAAAAAACTGAAATTTGGTGCATAATGTTTAAGCCTCAACTATTTGATTCTACGGTCATGGTTTGTCTCTCTTCACATATATGTAGATATTGATAAATGGCTCAGAAAGTGTCCCCACATCAGGAATCAAAGACAAGAGGACCATGCTTTGATGCTGCCCAACTAGAAATAGAATAAGCTTATAGGATGCTGACCAAACAATTGGATTAATCATGGGATGGGTTCACTTGCAAAGCAAGGTTTTGGCAGAGACAAGGATCTCATTGCCTGATTTTAAACAAGTGACATGCCCCTTGTTATCCATAATGTTCCGTCTCACTGTCATTGCTTCTTCTGCTCTTTTAATTTTTCTTTTCTTTCTAATAATGAATTAAAATCTTTCATGGTCTTTTAAACGAAAAAAAAAATGTACCATATACTATAAAAATCAAGCATAGACATGCTAATGACTCATATAAATTAATATTGTTATATAAATCTATATGGTGTGAGATATTAATCTATATCGATATGCCAAGACTCTCAAAATGCAAAATATTATATAAAGATTCAAGTCAATTGAGCACATATAATAAAAATGTCATAATAAATGTTGAGATTTCAAATTAAATTTTAGTAATTATTTATTCATAATCTAGTGTTCTAATTGATATGACATAATGAAATATTACATATAGTGTATAACTAAATTTTAATTATATTAAGATGACAATTAATCAATGAGTCAAATGTTCATGTATTACTAAGATAGAAAGATTTATTTAAGAAAAATACTACTATTTATAATATTCTTTAAATTAAGCATGTATGCTAAAATATCCACTTTGACATAGTACAAAATCTCTGAAATATTTATTTCGGACATTTAATGTATTCATCATCTAATGATGTTTTGATATATTGCAAACTTTTTGTTTTGATTATATGTTATGTTTACTTGGGTTGGGTTTAAATTAATTGTTTCGAGCTCAAATTTGGTCTAAATTTATTATTTTATTAAAAATATTTTTTAAAAAACATTAATAAAAAATATTTCTTGAAATTTAATTATATGGGTATAAAATTTTTAATTAATTTTGTATTATAACTAAAATGAACCCAAACTTACTCTCCAAAAATTTGGGTCGATCATACTCGGCCCATGGAATTTTCCTGGGTAAGCCCAAAGACGTTTTCAAGTTTCTTTTCTATCTGCTTCTAACCTGATTTTCAATTTCCCCGTGGCACCAAACTAACCTTTGAACCTTCACTCCGGACAGAGTAACTTAACTGACTGAACTGCTTCTTTTCCCTGGAAACAAACAGAAAACAGCGTCCCCCCATTTTCCCTGAAACCAAACTCACTTAACGAATGGACTCCCTCAAGTCTACCTTCCTCTCCAGCACAACCCATCTCTACCCTTCATTTCCCCTCTCAAAACTGCCCACAACGAACCCCAAAATCCCCGTACACTCCTCAATCCATCCGGACCCGTTTACCCTCAGCGACGGCAACCCAACACAACCGAAACCCAAATCCAGAAACCCAAAAAGACCCCTCTCCGACGACAACGCTCGTCGAATTATAAACAAAAAGGCCCAATATTTGAGCGTGTTGAGGCGTAACCAAGGGCCACGCGCCATGACTCCGAAATGGATAAAGAGAACGCCTGAGCAGATGGTAAACTATTTGGAAGATGAGAGGAATGGGGAGTTGTATGGGAAGCATGTCGTGGCGGCAATAAAGGCGGTGAGAGGGATGGGAGAGAGGAAAGAAGGGGAAGTTGATGTGAGGAGGGTGATGGGGAGTTTTGTTGGGAAGTTGAGCTTCAGGGAAATGTGTGTGGTTTTGAAAGAACAGAAGAATTGGAGGCAGGTTAGGGATTTCTTTGCTTGGATGAAGTTGCAGGTTAGTTTTTTAGTTGTTATAGGCTTCCTTGTTAGTATTAGTAAATTTTCTTAATTTTTGCCGAAATCATATCCACATAAAATTAACAATGGAAATGCTAAAAGAAAAACCCAACTGGTCTGGATAAGAGACATTAAATCTTTGTACTTGAAGTTTGTATCATTTATTCACGATGTTATTATTAATTGTTTCCTATACAAATAAAATGTTGTTTGGATTTGGGCCATTTAGTACGTTTTAGTGAACGAACTAACACACTTTCATATATAATTGTTCCTATTCAAGTAAAATATTGTGTTTTCCTATTAGAAAAGGTTAAACAGTTTCATTTTTAGTAATTCAAAAAGAGTTTAGTGCTTATGTTTGCGTCAAAACATAGTATTTTCTTTTTGCTTCTGAAAGTATCATGGCGTTCTTAAAGAGCTGAACAGATTATGTTGTTGTCTTCCAAAATGTGGAGATTAATACATTGTAATTGTAGACTTGTGCTTGAACAGTTATGCTATCGCCCGAGTGCTATTGTTTATACAATTGTTTTGCGTGCTTATGGACAAGTTGGGAAAATCAAACTGGCTGAACAGACCTTCCTGGAGATGCTTGAAGCAGGATGTGAACCTGATGAAGTTGCTTGTGGTACCATGTTGTGTACATATGCTAGATGGGGGCGTCACAAGGCTATGTTGTCCTTTTATTCTGCCGTTCAAGAAAGGGAAATTACACTCTCAACTGCTGTTTACAATTTTATGCTGTCTTCTTTGCAGAAGAAATCACTCCATGAAAAGGTCAAAGATTTATGGAGGCAAATGGTGGATAAAGGGGTGGCAGCTAATAGGTTCACTTATACTGTAGTAATCAACTCACTTGTTAAAGGGGGGCCTTTTGAAGAGGCTCTCAAGACTTTTGATGAGATGAAGAAACATGACTTTGTCCCTGAGGAAGCAACTTATAGCCTGCTTATTAGTTCACAAACTAAAGATGGTAACTGGCAGGATGCACTAAGATTATATGAAGATATGAGATCCAGGGGAATAGTTCCAAGCAATTACACATGTGCATCACTTTTAACTTTGTATTATAAGAATGAAGATTATTCAAAAGCTCTATCTCTTTTTACAGAGATGGAAAGAAATAAAATTGGAGCCGATGAAGTTATATATGGCTTGCTTATTAGAATATATGGAAAACTTGGGCTTTATGAGGATGCGCTGAGAACATTTGAAGAGATTGAGCGGCTTGGTCTACTTAGTGATGAGAAAACATATTTAGCAATGGCGCAAGTCCATCTTAATTCAGGAAATGCTGAGAAAGCTCTGGCTGTTATTCAAATAATGAAGTCTAGAAACATTTGGTTCTCAAGATTCGCTTATATTGTTTCATTGCAATGTTATGTCATGAGTGAAGATCTGGATTCCGCTGAAGCTACATTTCAGGCTCTAGCTAAGACTGGACTTCCAGATACTGGTTCTTGCAATGACATGCTCAGACTGTATATAAGACTCAACTTGACTGAAAGGGCCAAGAATTTTATTGTCTGGATAAGGAAAGATCAAGTAGTTTTTGATGAGGAGCTTTATAGGGCAGTTGTAAGAATATATTGCAAGGAGGGAATGCTAGAAGAAATTGAGCAATTGACTAAAGAGATGGGCACTAATGATTCATACAAAGATAACAAGTTTATTCAAACATTTTTTAGAGCTATGTGTGGAGAATACATGGAAAATCAGAAAGTTAAAGTCAATGTGGCCTCCAACCAACTTGACACCACAGCTCTTGGATACTTACTTAGGCTCTATCTGGAATGTAAGGATTTTGGTAAGACGGAGGAAATATTGAAGTTGTTGCTTGAGACTGCCAATAGCATGTCTGCATTGACTCAACTTGCTAGCAACTTAATGAAAGAAGGTAAATTTTGGTCATTATTGTAATAAATATTTTTTTATTAAATTATGGGGACATCTTTTAAAATTTTTTTAAATTGTGTCTGTCTGTGCATCCAATACGGTTGAAGCAACAATTTAAGGTATTGTGTTTCAGTTGAGTGATGATATGATCTTCTTAAATAGGTGATATATCCAAAGCAAAAGCTCTTAATGATCAAGTGGTCAAGCTAAGTTGCAGTGGGGATGATGCAACAATTGCATCTATGATTGGTCTATATGGGAAGGAACAGAACCTAAAACAGGCCCAAGATGTCTTCACTGCAGTTGCAGATTCTTCCACTTGTGGGAAATTGATATATAACTCAATGATTGATGCATATGTTAAATGTGGTAAACCTGAGGCGGCATATTCACTGTTCAAGGAAGCAATCAAGAAAGGGCATGATCTGGGTGCTGTTGCCATCAGCAAAGTTGTCTACTCTTTGACTAATTTTGGTACGAGTTTATGAAACTCCACTAGACCTGCAAGACATGTCTGATGTTTCTTAGGGATCTTCAGATCATAGCATATATCTTTATACGAGGATCTTCTAAATAATTCACAAATAACTATCCACCATTAAGAATTAGATCTCGTAGCATGGAATCAATTTGGGTTCAAAATTCATTGCTCATAATGTCTACCAAATTTTAGTAGATTTATATTTAAAAAGCCAGCTAGTACTGATAATGCATGATAGCAGATGATACATGACTTAGTTCATATTGAAAAGGCCATCTATTACTGATAATGCATGATTTCAAATGATACATCTTTTTTTGAGAACCTTCAATGATTTATCATAAGAGCTAGACTAAATGAGTGTACTTGAAATTTACCATGTAAAGTTAAAGGGTGTAACAATGGTTGTGTTTTTTTCTTAGAAAAATCCTTTTTGTCTTTTATCCTTAATCCCAATCGGTTTCAAGAAATTGTAATCTAGTGATACTTTGATGGTGTGCTCATCAAAAATGTACATATTAAAGTTGATTATGTTGTTTCTTGGTTTAATATGCTGTTGTCTATGATATACTGTATCATTGTCAATGAGTAACTAGATTAATCTTTCTCCAGGAAAACATCAAGAGGCAGAAGAGTTGATACGTGTTAGTTTTCAGGATAATTTGGGACTTGATACTGTGGCATACAATACATTTATCAAGGCAATGCTAGAAGCAGGTTGCTTAAAACATTCTTGGTTCACTGCATATCCATTTGTCACACTGGTCAAAGATGGAAATAACTAGTTTGTAAAATCTTCGCAGGTAAATTACGTTTTGCAACCAGCATTTATGAGCGTATGCTTTCCATGGGAGTTACTCCATCAATTCAGACATACAACACATTGATTAGGTAAGAGGTTGACCAACGAGAAAAAATTTGTCAATGATTCACTTTTGATGTGACATTTGCAGCCTGGTCATTTGGTGGTGCAGTGTCTATGGACGAGGTCGTAAGCTGGACAAGGCAGTTGAGACCTTCAACATGGCTCGCAACTTGGGTGTAGCTTTGGATGAGAAGGCATATATGAATCTTATCTGCTATTATGGGAAGGCTGGTACTGGTTTATTTATTATTTGTGAAGACAAACGACAATATTAATTAGCAATATCATGCCAATGGCTTTGACTTAATATGCCTTTTTCTGAACTTTTAATTTCTAAGAGCATAAACCCTGAAATTTTCAAAAGGTTACTGTGTCATACTTACCGTGAGGATCTATTCAAATGATAAAAAAATGTTGCTTGAAAGAATCAAATAGTAATCGTGTGAATTTCTCCTGATTTCTTCTTCTTATCTTTCCTTTCTCCCCAAACTTAATTGCTATCTCTTTCTTCCACTGTCTCTGCCCTTTTCCTTCAGTGATTCTTGCTGCCAGTCTCCAGTCTTTTAACTTCCACCCTCATTCCTCCCAGAGAGGGGCAATATTGTTGCTTATGATAGTTTTATCCAGTTTTTCCTATATGTTGGTAGAATTATCTTAGATATGTTTTGCTTGATACATAGGAGCAATATTTGTATGTATGTTTTGTGTTGAAGTGCTAGTCAGATACACTGGTGAAGGGGTTAGAGTTCACTGTCATGAACACCTAAAAGCTTTTCTAATGTTCACAAAGTATCTAATTTCATAGGGGACCTGAAAATTGATAGCAGACATGCTCATTGCAGACTTTTCCGAAGGCACACACTGCACTTGAAATACATTTATTTCTTTGCTTCTTGCTGTTTTACTGCAGTTTTTTATGACATAAAGAAAGTCAATAGGATCATCATCATTTCCAGCATATCTGTATACATTTTAGCAGTTAGTAGTAACATAAATGCTTAGAAATCAGGTACTGAAAATTGTTGGCTGTGAAGACTGTAGTGCAAGTGCTGGCCAAATTCATCCCAAATGGCATTTATGATGATTTATGCTTGATTGTTGACTTATTCTGGTGGATAGTTGGGTCAGCAGTTAGATTTTCATCACTGAGATGTTTCACAGCATAACTAGTTTAATTTTTACAGGTAAGAGGGATGAAGCTTCCTCATTGTTCAGTAAAATGCAAGAAGAAGGGATAAACCCAGGAATGGTATGCTTTACTCCCAGTTAAGAAAATAGAAAAGACGCCTAGTACAATTCAGTCACTAATAATGATTGAGGATGATTGTTTTCAATAGCCTTGCTTATGCATTCCTTCCTTTTGCTCTATGGAGACCTGATTGAAGCATGGGGTGCCACATGAAAATTGTGCAATTATGTCGTTAGTGTACTTGTATGTATGCTTTGGTCTTTTGTTGTTAGATGTGATCATTTTAAAAATTGTAGGAACAGCGCCTTTTATCTCAGCATTATGTTAGGTAATCCATGTTTATATTCACTTTTCTTGTCAGATTCTCCCATCGGTTATGATCATCTTACTGAAAGATTGATTTTCACGTGAGATGCTGGTAGTGGCTGTATGAAATGATACTTGTGCATGATGCTAGCCTCTTCATTCTACTTTGTGACTGTCACATTTGTACACATTGTTTTGAGGAACTTTAAGCATAAATTTTACATGTTTGAGATTGATGTCATACAGACTTTTGGGAAGTCAGCCTACCTAGGATCTATGTTGGGTTCGGGTTGGTCAATTGGGGATTTTGGGGTTATGGTTATGGTAGTAATTAGAGGAAGGGTTTAGGAAACAACAAGGCTCTGTTTGGTTGATGTTTTTGCTTTTTAGTATCTACCTTATGTTGTGTATTCACTTTTTATTTTTGGCTTTTTGCTTTCTATTTATTTTTTGCAGAAAAGGCAAAAAGCAAATAGTAAAAGTATTAACCAAGCGGAGCCTAAGGGTTTGATTAATTTAGATTTGATCTCTAAACAGGGTAATTTGAGGGGTTTGGCTGGTTAGAACTTGTATGGAAATAGGACTTTAGAAGGCAGGATATTATGGTCATAGTGTATGAATCTGTTAATTCTTAATTTTATTGCTACTTGAAGTATTGATCTACTCATTCAGTGCAAACTATTGCCTTTTCTGGGGAATGCAGGCAAGCTACAATATTATGATGAATATATATGCCAGGGCTGGACTATGTGATGAAGTTGAGAAACTTTTTGAAGCCATGCAGAGAGATGGTTGCTCGCCTGACTCCTTCACCTATCTTTCCCTTGTTCAGGCTTATACTGAGTGTTTGAAATATGCAGAAGCAGAGCAAACTATAAAATCTATGCAAAAAAAGGGCATCTCCCCAACCTGTGATCATTTTAATCACTTACTGTGTGCTTTTGCAAAAGTAGGGATGACAAGGGAAGCAGAGAGGGTTTATAGGGAACTAGTAACAGCTGGCCTAAGTCCTGACCTGGCATGTTATCGCACCATGCTGAGAGGTTACATTGACTATGGATTGGTGGAAGAAGGCATAGACTTTTTTGAGCAGATCAGGGATACTGCAGAGCCAGATAGGTTTATCATGAGTGCAGCTGTGCATATTTACAAGCATGTGGGAAAGGAAACTGAAGCTAAAAGTATCCTGGATTCCATGAATAATTTAGAGATCCCATTTTTGGAAAGCCTTAAAGTTGGATCCAAGATGAAAGTCCCTTGATCTTTAAGAGTATCATTTTAGCACGACGCATTGGATTCTGATATTCATTTCTCGTTGACACCTAGCTTACTTCTTCTTTGGAAGAAGGCCATTAATTACCAGGTTATATTGCCCTTCTCTGTCTTTTCCTTTTCCTGCATTAGATTTTTTTTTTTTTTGTGCACTCATGCTTCTCCCCAGAAATTGGTTCCTTGTGCTTATTTCATGTTGGCAAATGGATTTATTTGACTTTTTGAAATCATGATTTTTTATGTTAATTGCCCAAAATTCCTTCTGGTAGTTGCATTCTGCATATTTCCCTGTGCATGTTTATAAATGTTTAAAGCCATATGATTGTGTATGATTTTTATCATTTATATCATCAGGAGAGTAATCGAATTTAAAACTGAATTCTTGGCAGTGTGTGATATTTGTCACTGTGCTGACTTAAAGGAATGACTTCTGTCCTGGACATTGTTGCTCCATATTGAGTAAGTGATATGTGGCTTTGACAAAGTGAGCTAAAAGAATGACTTGGTTGAAGTTGAGATTGCTGCTTAATCATTCCATTGTCATGAAGCATCATTGGTATGGACATTGTAGTCTCAGGTTGGTATAATTTATTAAACATGTCAAGTTGTTCATTGGCAAACAATTCATTAGTCAAAATCACTATTTTAATACAATCTGTCTATTCATTTTTTTTAGCTTGCCAATAGACATGGGATATTGTCTAAGCATCTTTTTCTTCTTGAAAAACTCTATTGATATCATTTAAATAAAATTTCTTTATCATCAATTGTCAGTTAAAATAAGAGATCAGTTTCACGTAAACTTAAACCTGGGTCATCTGAAAAATAAACAAAGAAAAATCAACTTTCTTTTTGATGCCAACAGCATCTGGATTAGCTGCAGTAGGTGTGACTGAAAATTGAAACCCAAAGTTAGAAGTCTAGAAAAGTTGATGGGTGTATAGAGTGAACCTCACTTTCCAACCAAACATAAGTTCTTTAATGCAGGATCTCACTAGATATATGCAGTCAGGGGATCTCAAGATAAATGGACAATTTAGGCTTAGATTAGTCTGAGCTATTTGTCACTCAATGTAGTTGTAGACATGAGTGAACCTGAGAGAATTTCAAAGCAGTTGGGCTATCTCTACTGCTGAAATCCTCGACTAGACTTTTGGAGTGTTGGTTGGATCTTTCCATCAATTACTTTAACATTATGAATAGAATTAAGCTCAGATATTCTTTTAGAGTGCTAGAAGCCACAGAATGAGCACCCATTCTTGCACACTTACGCACATCAACAGTTAATTGTCTATTTTGATATCTAGGCTGGTGGTTTTTGTCAGCCGTAAAATGTGATTATTTGAATGTTTCTATTGCTGAGAATATTACTTGATCCTTTTATAAAATGAAGATTTTCTGTCATTTGGTCTTATTATGCATGTTCGATTTTGGACATCACCTAATTTAATTATCACTTAATTTTTTATACAAATATCTCAAATTCAGCTCCCAACGGACATATATGATATAGCTGTTAAATCACTTTGGGGTTTCATTTTATTGTAGGCAATTGCAGGTCTCCTTTTAAAACTACCTTTACAACTATTTTGGAACAGCATCAGGTTAGCTTCAATAAACAGTGTTAATCTGCTCCTTCGAGTTGTCAAGTGTTGTGCTTCTTGAAGATATGGTGAGGGTGTTATTATATTATGTTTTAAATAAAGCAAAATCAAGATTTTCATGTGCGTCAATGTTTATTTCTTTGAACTCTTAAATTAAATAAAACAATCTCCTCTCAAATTTTTTGTCCCTCTCTCTCTACCCCTTTCTTCGACAAAAGAAAAAGGATCAGGTGGGGGAGTTTGGATTGCCGCTTCTTTGTTTTATGTTGCTTTTCAATTGGTTGGTTATCATGAGTTTTTCTTATCTACATGTTGGTATTTCCTCTTTTTTCTGTTGTTTGTTTACTTAATTTGTTACCCCCCTTCCTGTTATGCTAAAGATTGTGCCTATTGTCCTTCATCTTTCAGGTTTAGGTAGCTGAGTTTATTGATCTATGCTATTTGAGGGTCTTGCTGCTGAATCAAAACACTCAAAAGAAAGCTAAATGTCTTGTTTCAGTTCATTCTAAGGTCTGATGAAGAAAGATTCTTTGTTGCCTTCTCCACGAACCTCTAGAGGTCAAACAGAGCTGGCAGCCGCCCCTGCTCAATGGAGGGAAGTTCTGGTTGGTGATTTAATAAAGTGAGGGGGGAAGGGGTTAAAGTAATTAAGGAAGGGTAATGTATCAAAAAACTAGTTTTGGTGATCAACTTTATCAAAAAATCAGTTTTTACCTTGCAAAATGGGACATCATTGTCAATTTGTAAGCTCATATTTAGGCGATAGAAGTTCAAAATGTCTTTCCTTTCAGGGGTTTATCTTTGATTTTGTTATGGCATATACATGTTACTTGATGTGTTACCTTCTTAATTTAATAAAATTATTTGAGTTTTATCTCTTGCTGAAGAAAGGGATGGTGCTAATGATGCATGAAATTATTAGTAGTACTAACCGGGTTGATACTCTTGCTTACTTATTGCTTTAACTAGTCAAAGAACAAAGGTATTATCTGTTCTAAAAGTAGGTTGAGACAAGTTGATTCTAAAAGTAGGTTGAGACAAGTTGACCCACTGTCTCCTTTCCTTTTATTTTTTGTCAAAACATTTGTTCTTCCGTGCTTCCTATCTTAAGCTGAAGCAGAGAACAAAATGCAGGGAAATTGTTTGAAGTAGGGGAGGATTAAAACTTGAAATTCACTAATCTGCGGCTTGCAGGTGATAGTGTCTGGACTTATGTAAAAGGTAATTCTTGACAAGTTCTATGCCATCTCAAGAAGTGAAGTCTAAGCTTTCGCTATTGTCTGGCTTGAGCAGAATGCTTAGTAAACAATGGATAATGATTCAACAGATTTGGGGATGGACATGTGCTTGAAAAGATGCAGAGCAAGTTGGCAGGGTGGATAGGATATATTGCATAACACCACACAACACGACAAAGATGGATCTGAGGAAATCCTATCACAGCATCATATGCATTTGCTTATAAAATCATAATATTAATTGCAAAAACGCGTGCAATTGAACTTGGCCTTTGTTTTCTTTTTTCTGTTTTTTAAGATTGGCCCAACATCGATCCACAGAGACTGAGCCCAACAATCGTTGTCTGGGGCTCTCCATCCCATTTTTGCTCTCTTCCAAATCTCCACCGTCGCGACCTTCACCGAGAAAAAACCAGAAACTCTAAAGAGCGAAAAAACACATATGGCGTATTCGGGTCTTCTGAAAACCATAATCAGATCATCGAATTTGGGATCTACGACTCGTAATTTCAGCCTCGTTAGCAGTCAAATCAGCAATCATACTGCCAAATGGATGCAGGTACTTAATCCCAAATTGTTTGCTGAAATTTGTGGAAAATTTAGGTTATTTTTAGGAATTTTATGGGTTTTATTTGAAAGTTCTATAAACAAATACATATTACAATAATTACTATTGATATTTTTTATTTCATATTTTTTCTAGAATGTAACGAATTCAGTTATCAGGGTATTTACTAACTTATATGTTTGATTTCTTCGATTATTTACTCTCTTTTTTTCCGGGGGAGGAGAAGGAGAGAGAGGGTGCTAACAAACATATATTTTAATTATCCAAAAAGGGAAAAATGGGTTATTTTACCAATTTTTTATATTTACTAAAATATTGAATTATAGTCTTTGGAATAGAGGGTTACTAGTGGATTGTCTTAGCATTTGCTCTGCAATTGCCTTATATTTTGATTTCTTGTGGTGCTAAAGTCCTATTTATACATCAAAGCCCCTTTGATTTTTTGCCTTAATAGTTACTTGAATAAATTCAGGTCGATGACCTGTGTTTGATTCTCTAGTATTTTACATCCTGTTTGTTGTTCTCAATTTTTTGAAGACGTGCCAGCAGATTATAGTGATGTATAGGTTGTGTAAAACAATCGAAGCAACATGAAATGACTTAAGCACTGATTACATGTTTATGAACAATGTAGAATGTTCTGAGGAGGTTTTGTGGAATTACATATTTGATATTTGTTCCCAGTGAGACGCTGGGGAAAGATTTAGTAATTTGATTTTCAAGAAGGCTTTCAAGATTTGCATAGCCTTAATGAGTTGAATAGTGGGGACCCTTTTTTTTTTTTTCTTCCCATTAGGATAATGATTTTGGTTGTTCCTTGAAGATTTTGATGAGGCTGTGATGCTCATGATTTTCTTTCAAAGTGTCTTTAGTATTTTTTGGTCAATATAGATATTTCACATACACATAACCTGTGTTTGGGTTTCCATATATTTGATATTGTTCCAGTATTTTAAGTTTTGAATAGGTGCATTGCATAGACAGTTTTTCTGCATTCACGGTTTGATGGCTATATCACTTTATTTATACTGCTTGTTTCTTTAACCATGCTCATTACTACCTTGTTGCATAAACATGGGCTTGGTTTAGACATGGGTGTTTTTCCCAATATGGGTGCCATATATTTTTGGCAATTTTTCATTAATTTGTCATACCTATAAAAGTTCAAATTGTCAAACAAACATTGTGTATTTTAGGGTAAAGTCAAGTCTATGTAACATAGTACATGTCAATTAACTGATTGGCCTTTGTCTCCCAAAAGACAACAATGAAGTGAAGAAAATGAAATAGAGTGGATGGTTTCGAAAGTTCACCTCTTCTTTTCAAATTTGCAGGATACAAGCAAGAAATCTCCAATGGAGTTGATCAATGAAGTTCCTCCTATCAAGGTTGAAGGCAGGATTGTAGCTTGTGAAGGAGGTTGGTTTCTGAGCATTATTTTCCTTAACACTTTGTGAACAAGCTGATTAGTAGGTGAATTATGTACTGGCACGATAAGCAACTTAAAACTAAATTTGATAAAAACAAGTAAATGGCTAAGATGTATAATACTAAATGATAGTCTTGAATAAAAGTAAAATCATGTATTTTGATATCCATGAAAGTTAGATTTTTCAAAATATCGTTTGCCAAGTAGTAGAACTAAAACCGACTAAAGCCTAAGTAAAAGGGTATAGTCTACATAGGTTGCATGCACTTTTTCCTATGCTAACAACAAGAAGTTCTGCTGGTCTCTCTTCTCCTGGTTGCAGACAGTAATCCTGCCTTAGGACACCCAATTGAATTCATATGCCTTGACTTGAAGGAGCCAGCTGTGTGCAAGTATTGTGGCCTGCGCTATGTTCAGGAGCATCATCACTAGAAGTGTAATGATGTTTTTATCAGGCTCTTGGGGTAATTGTTATTGTGCATTGCCCATGGCACTTTTTTTCTGTCAATGTATTGATAAAACTCTGCGTTTTTATTTTCACATAATAAGCATTTAAAGAGTTCTCATTTGTGAACGTATTTCCAAGGCCCATATGGTCTAGTTTTCTGTTTACATAACTGGGTGGTCACTGTTTCATATATCCCAACTTTAGTTATTGCTTTCTATCAAGTTCAATTTTTCCTGCGTATCAATAATATCTTTCGAGATTGAGCGATTAGATACGAATGGCATTTCAAATTTTCATGAGGAAACCACGTTACAAGCTCCCACCATAATGTTACATTTGCCTCATAAAGTTGGCAGCTAATGAATCTCTACCTGGCTGAATCTGGTTTGACACAGAAATTTTCATGCGAAGTGGAGGGTTCTTCCCCAACCGAAGAATGTGAATCATTTACTCAACACCTGTATCTAATAAATCAGGGCACTTATCCACCGTCCGAAGGTTATTTTACGTTAGAATCCGGTCATGGCAGAGGATAACCATGGGATTTGTGGAAACAAATTGAACAAAAGCACCTATAAATAACTTCACCTCGTAATGGATGTGCAGCGACCCTCCCTACTCTCCCAGTCCCAACCCCATTTCATGGGGAAAATAATGACAACATTACGCCCTAAGCTCAAAAAAACGGGCCTTATAAATCAAGCTAGAACTAACAGCCACGGCCAATTTTTGCCAACTGATGAAAATTCTGCATGCAATAAAAAATTAATCAAACACGATCTCCATCTGCAGCAGCTAGTTTTCTTCTCTGTTGATGTTCTGCGACCTTATAATCTACCACTTCACGAAAGAGGCTTGGATCCAGCACGCAGTTCTCACTCCCATATACTGCTGCTTGGACACTAGCCATCAGTTTGGCTATTTCCCTTCCAGAAAATCCTTCAGTTTTAGCTGCAGCTTCTCTTAAGATATCATCTGTCAGTCCCTTGATCTCAATCTTCTGAGTTTGCTTTTTCAAAAGATTTTGAAGCACTCCAGATTTTCTCGAGCCAGCCTGAGCTATGTACTTATCCAGATAGAGCTTTAGCAGTTTGAAGCGTTCCTCTTCCCCAGGCAAAGGGAATTCCAGTACTTCATCAACACGGTCAGCCACAGCTGAATCAAGATCACCGGGACGGTTTGTAGCGAGAGCAAGGACAATGTCCTTGGACTGGTCACCTGTGCGGAAAAGAAGAGCATTGAGTGCACTCCGTTGAGCTTCACTCATGTAGGTTTTGTTCCGTCTGCAAAGTTAGGCCAAAATCAGTACTCAAAGCTAACCTTCCAAATGAATCAATGAAGTTAGTAATGTTTCCACCACCCTAGGACAGTTACTTTTGTGTGCAATTATTGTTGAGAAAAAAGAAATAGAACAAATCATGAAGACTCTTTCATGAATAAGAAAAATGAAATAGAACAAATCATTTGAAGGAGCAATTTTCCTTGATTAGACAAGAGATTTATTTTTTACCCTACAAAAAGATATTGAGATGTTTATGCAAAATTAACCTCCTTGAGACATCATGATCAATGGTGAAACTCCCAATCAACAAGTTTGTCATACCTAACCAACAAGGGGAAAGCTAAGAGATACTGGATGATCTTGAAATAAATAATACAAGGATATATTGTGCCCGAAGGGAAAACCATTAACTTCTTCAAACTAAATGGTGTTTGCCTTTCA